TAGCTGTCATTCACCTCGGCGTCCCTGTCTCCACCTCAAGTCGCATTCTTCGAATATCGGGTAACGCGTGTTGCAATTTTAGGCAACTTGCCAATGACAAAGCTCACAAAAAATAACCTGCCAATACCAAACGGATGCTAAATAAGTTGTTTTGTCTTTGTGGTTAAAATGTGTCACGTGCAGTCTTTTCTATAAAAACGTGTCTTGTGACGTTTTCAAAAATAGGTTTTCGCCAATGTGAGAACTAAGAACCGGAAAATGATCGGATTCTCCTAGATTTCAAATTGAAGCGAACGGCTCAAGTACACCACCATGTTAATCCTCGGGTTTTGGTGAATTTATAAGGTCATGTGAACAATGCCTGTATACTATACAAAGGTGCAACATAAAAGCGCAACGCTTAAACCTTGATACTTGACCATTTGGCCAATACTCTTCTATAGGGGGGAAGCAAGGTAGCACATCTTAGATGCCTTGCAGATAATTCATGCCATACCCCCATCTTAGAACCTCAGGTTGAGTGACCCGAATCTAATTTGTGCACTTCTCGTCGTAGAAAACTCGAAGAGAATTCCCCGTCTATGCACCCTAGGGAACATTTTGCTTTGCTTTGGCCCGTCATTCCTTTCATTATTGGTTGCCAGCTCTTAGATGCCTTGCAGATAATTCATGCCAAACCACGTATCGGTATTGGCATAATCACCTGATAAAAGTATTGCAACAATGCGTTTTGGATTATTTTTGCTAGGGTGCTGCCATGGGAGCCCATGGGTCATTTCTCCTTGGATTGAATCGGGTGCAACAGTGAAAAGTTTAATACTACTACCACCACGTAGCAGGGAGGAGGGTACTGGCTTGTCCCAATCGAAGTCTCTGTTCACCCATCTTTGGAGAGCAAAACAAGTCCAGAATATGTTATCGTTTTGCTATCCGACCAGCTGTCAAGTTTTGGTTTCATGCGTGAGAACCTTCACTGTCAGTGCAGCGCTCAGATCCATGTCGACTTGCGTGTTTAAGATAGCTTAAAGAGACAGGAATTCACTCGTAGCTAGGTTAGCTTGATTGAAATACTAGGCTGTAGGGCTGTGGAACATCCACCATGATCAGATTATTCAGATAGACAGACAAAGACACCAACCGGGCATGTGACGGACTTACCAACCTGCTGCTGCTGCTAGCTACCTCATTAATTTGCTGCTGCTGCGTATTTCTGATCTGTAGGCTCATTAGCTGGTCCAGAATCTTGCATACATTATCATGTCGACGGCTCCATGATCGCCATTACCTATTGTTTCTTTGTTTGTACTACTGCCCACACTTGGCGCCACGGCATTAACTGCTGTCAGCTACTACTACGTAGTGTACTGCTCTAAATTATTGTTACCGCTTAATAAGTAAATACTGTGCTGGCCGTGCATGCACTTGTGCGTTTCAACTGAGCTAACCACGTGCATGTGCATCTTGACCAGATCTCTGACGTCGGAATCGTCCATGACCCGGAGCCCCAGCCGGAGGCTGCGATCGTGGCTGAGCACGCTGCACGGCGACGGGGACAAGCGTGCGCAGCGCGACCAGCGCAAGGGGTGGATGGTGACCATCCACGACCTCTCCGGCTCCCCGGTGGCGGCGGCGTCCATGGTCACCCCGTTCGTGCCGTCCCCGGGCTCCGGCCGCGTCTCCCGCGCCAACCCGGGCGCCTGGCTCATCCTCCAGCCCACCGGCGCCGGTGCGTCCAGCTGGAAGCCGTGGGCGCGGCTGGAGGCGTGGCGGGAGCGCGGCCCCGTCGACGCGCTCGGCTACCGCCTCGAGCTCGTCTTCGACTCGGGCCCCGTCGAGTGCGCCGTCCCCATCGCCCAGTCGTCCATCAGCGCCAAGCGCGGCGGCCAGTTCGTGATCGACCCGGCCACGTTCCCCGAGGGCTCCGCCGGCGGTGCGTGGCCGTTCGCCGGCGGGTTCGTGATGGGCTCGACGGTGGAGGGCGAGGGGAAGGCCAGCCGGCCCACCGTGCAGGTCGGCGTGCAGCACGTGGCGTGCATGGGCGACGTGGCCGTGTTCATCGCGCTGTCGGCTGCCGTCGATCTCTGCATGGACGCATGCAAGCTCTTCTCGCACAGGCTCAGGAAGGAGCTGTGCCAGGACCAAGACGACTAGTCTTGGTCGTCTCTCGTCTTGGTCGTCTCGGGCTTGACTCTTGTGAAGGTGATGGCCTGTGGCTGTTTTTTTAGTTTAGGCTGGGTCGGATCACAAGAACAGATCGAACGAGTGTGCTTATTCTTTCGTTGAGATATTCCTTCGATTCTTTGTAGTATAATAAGTAAGTCTATGCAGCTGTAGTATTCAGTGTCGTGCCTGACCGATTCATTTGGAATGTTCAATCATGTTGAGATGAGCATTCATAAACGGAAATGCGCAGGGGCACTTAAGTGTGGGGCATTCATCTGCCAAGTACTGCCGTCCGCTTGTTTTGCCTCCCGATTCTTGCAGTAGTTCATTCCCGCACGAGGGTACAGTAAAAGAAATCCCACAAAAAGTCTCAAGCTTCAATGATGAAACTTACGTTTTTTTGCAACTAAAACTGTCAAGTTTCAATCGAGTTTCAAATAAGATCTAAAACTGCCAAGTTCCAGAGATGTAAATTCAATCAATTTTTTCTGTCGGTCGTAGACACAAAATAATTCATTTTTATCGGTCGTTCGTACCAAGTTTTAGTATTTTTGAAGTCATCATAGTATATACAAAATGGATCTTATTTAAAGCACTGGCCAAGAGAAACACGAATATGAAACATAACTTATTTTGGAATTTTCATTTAAAAAATATAAACTTTAAAAGTCGGAAGCCAAAATAAAAACAGGCACGGGGTACATGCATGCCTTTGCACTTGTGTGCCACAAATCTTCTCCCTATTCATAAACAGTTTATAAAACCTTTATTCTTTAATATATAATATGCACACTCGTGTATATTCGAGAAAAAAAAAACCTTTCAAACCAAGTCGCCACTTTAACTTGTGTGAGTCGCCGGGGATGGGAGAAAACCTACTTGCCCAGCTAGTGGAAGCTATGTACAGGAAATTTTGCCATGCATTTTTTGCCCTTCACGTCTCCCCCTACCCCAGGTTCCCATGATAAAGTTATTATACTTGGATATATTGGGCTTTGTGATAGCTTACCACATAAGCCATGGGGTAGGTCCCATGATAAAATTTGAAAATTATTTGTCATGGTATAAGTAATATATTTTTCATTGTCTAATTAAATAAACTGCCATGGTCATAAACAATAAAAATGCCATGGTAGCTACAAATAAAACTACCTTGATTTAATTTAAAAAAAGCCATGGTCTAACTAGTGAAATTGCCATGGAAC